GGGGGCAGTTTTGACACAACAGAATATAGCACAAAGAGTATGCACCTGCCAAACATAGCAATACCACAAGAACAAAGTCAAACAGTAGAGAAAGCTGAAAAAAAAAACAGTGGCAAACTAAATGAATTAACACAGTCCACTTTCATAGACAATGTGAGATGTGTTTCAGAGAATGCTACTTTGTAAAGCAAGATTGTATTTAAAAAAAACAACAACTTCAACATGAATTAATCATGTATAAACAATGGGGAACATGCATCAATTCTGGTGCACAGCAAGGCCATGCTGTACAAGAGTCGTGAGACCATTTAAAAAGAATTAAATCGACTTCACTCATTAAAAAAAAACTCCAGCATTAAAAATAAATAAAAAACAAACAAACCCTAGCCCCACTACAAGAGTTAAGGGCAAAAACAAAGAAGAAATACTCAAACGTTCCTCGGTCCCACCTTGCTGCTAGACTGGTCCCCACAACCTCTTCTCCCCCAGGCTTTGGCGGTTTAAGGACCCGTGACATCACGTCTAATGTGAGGACACTGAGGGACATACCATAGCCAGAGCTAAGGGAGAGAAGTGAACCGTCACTGCCGCAAGACCAAGGATCAAGTGAGTTATTCCGTCTTTATTTTTGTCCCTAGACCAAAATGAGCACTTAACCCTTGCACTGCAGAGGTTATTTAAAAAAAAAAAAAAAAATCTGGAGTTCTTCTTTAATTCCTCCCTCAGCTGCTCTAAAGTAGCACTTTGACAGATTAGACATTTGAAAGTAAAATCATATTTCCTTCCAGGAATTAACATATGAGCATGTGTCATCATCTCAATGAGCTGGAAAGTCATAGGATTATAAAAATGTAAAACATTTATTGCTGTGGTACCAAGGCTGAAAAATCTGATAATCAATTTTCATTATAGTTTTCAACGGATTACAGACCCTTGTACTCAGGCATCATTCATTGATCTTCCCCTATGAGACTACATAAGGCCATCACAAGCCAGAACATGCGGTGATGTAACTGAACCTCATGCCCTTAGCTAGTGCAATTTTTGATTGTGCAAGTATAAGAAGGTCAAGCAACTGACAGAAAATATTGACAGTATTGTAGATATAAGCACTGTAATACCCATTAGCATGAATAGTGATGTTATGAAAGCAAAACTGTCCCTTACCTCTGGGCATGCATGCCCTTCAAATGCATAGACCCTACTCTGATGTACAGGAAGCTCCTATTGTCAAGCTGTCAGTTTAATGAAAATTGATCTGGTAAGAAGCCGCTATTGCGATAATCTCTTATCTTACAGCAAAAACAAACAAACAACTAAATGAATGATTTTACTGCAGATACACAAGTCTGAACAACAAGTACCATACTAACATTTCACAATCGGACCTAAAGTGTCTGGTGAGAGTGAAGCATTCATACTTTAATAAATGGTCAATAAGATAGGCACCTTAAAAGATAAAGCAGTTGCCACATATGAAAAGCACAGTTCCCAAATGAGATCCCAGGAGATCCCAAATGAATGACTTTGATGACGGACATTTCATCACCAGTGACACTTTATACATGTCTCCAAAGTTAAAGTATGTTTTATTTAACCCCTTAGTGATGGGAGACATGCACTGTGCGTCCCGTCACTAAGTGCCCAAATGACTGTTTACGGACAAATGCAATGTATGAAAAGCAATACTAATCTTGATCCAAGCATCCAACAAATCTACAAGACTTCATAAGAAAGGAAAAAGCAATTTCTTGATAAACTTTATTTACTACAATCTGCACTGTTTGACTGCAACTCAGAGATCCAAAATGACAGCAAAGTATAAAAAAACAATCCAAAGCATGCAAAAGTGAATAAATGTAA